GCTTGATCTTTTTGATGCACTCGATGAATTGATATTCATTTGGATTTGGTTTTAACTGTTAGAAAAAGTTACACTTATAATTGACTTGACTTTTGAACTGATTGTTTCCTGTAAAAAAATGGATGAAGCAGTGAAGCGGCTTAAAGCAATTGAGACCCAAAATAGTAATATTAAATGTGGTCTTTTCATTTGTAGTATTAATTTTTTTAAAAATTTATTTATTTTTAATTTGTTAAGACAGAGAGACCAAAAAAAGAAGTAAATGATAATGTTGCCGTGAAAAAGTTTTCGACTTTTGCTTTTATTTTTTTATTAGAGAGAGACTAGGAGAGGGGTAAATACGAGTTAACTTTTGAAAATTTATTTTTAATTTTTAATTTTTGAGTTTTTAATGTTATGAATTGGATCATGGGTACATATTATCGTAATAAAAATTTTGATTAAAATTAATTATTTGGGACTTTTATTAGAGTTTAATTTCATTAAATTTTTTTTGTGAGTTAGTAATGTATTTAAAATTATGAATTCTTTTAAAAATTTGAGCACAAAGCTCAAACTTTATTTTTCATACTGGTAGGTCAGCGCTGATAAAGTCGTTAAACAACTATTTATTTCAAAAATTTACTTTTGGGGAAATTTAAACTTAAAATATTTATATTTCGTTAGATTTTGTGCCGAAAAAAATCCTTTTTAATAATTGGGTATTCCAAAAGTTTAAACTTTTGGAGAAGGAATATTAAGTATTTTTACAAGCTTGAGAATTGATCAATTATATGTCGGATATTTGATAAAAAGGTTGCATTCTTGCAGTTGTATTGGAAATGGAAGCAGTTTGCGCTTAGTATAGAAAAGAGAATTTGATTGGAAAATTTATTAATTGATAGAAACGGACTTTGGCCGTGACTGGTCGGTTTAAAACTTCAGAATAAGTTCAACCAAGACGAGTGTCTGGTTTCAAATTGACAAGTGGGTAGCAAAAAGTCACCTTTATCCTTGATTTGTCCAAGTCTGCAACCGAAAAGAGGGACGAAACCAGTATAACGTCGAACATGTCGGTCTAACTCTTATGATTTAAATTTCTTCCAAAATTATGTATGAAAGGAATTGTTGACTGATGGTATATATCTTTATAATGTTGTCCTTGTGCTTATGGCAAATGAAGGTACTGGGGACTTTCATAACAGAGTGGGATGAGGGGAAAGCTAATGCCGACATAATTCTCTCAACACGAGAGTCTGCTCAAATGTATGCTGAACGCTTGACTGAGCTTGCTGTGGCTTTGGGCTTTGATGGGTGGCTGGTAACCTGTTTTGTCTAATCTGAATGTTTTGCATTAGCAATTTTTTTTTTTGTTACAATTGTTTGTAGAGTTTGATGATGCTCAGCCTGACATGGCACACCATTTCCAGTTTTACCTTTTTTTCATTTATACCCACTGCTATCTTTGAAGTCCTTTTGTCTTACTTCCTGAATTTGAATTCAGTTTGACAGCGCTCAGCCGGACATGGGACGCCATTTCCACTTGTACCTTTACTTATGTATACCCACTGCTATCTTTGAAGTCCTTTTGCTTTGTTACCTGAATTTGAATTCATATCGGTCTCTGAACATACTTGTTTGCATAGTCTACTATATCTGGGAACCTGAAGTCCTTCTCAGATCTATTGGTCCAGAATTCAACGTCCCCTGCTAGGGTTAGTTGAATTTTAAGATTTCAAACACATATGAATGTGTGTATTTCTTTTATCAGGTAGCTTAAGAGAAATGTGAATCACTTTGTATGAAATATGGTATCTCTGAGATAGAGTATTTAGTATTGTATATGTTATTTACTTATATACAAATCATTGTTTGTTCAAATTGACTTTTGCTAAAAAGTTGTATAACAGAGAGCAGGAGATTCCTTTAAAAATACAGAATAAAATGCAAAAGAAATGGTGACCAATTGGATGTTCTTATTATACTGCATTTTCTTTTTATGTATTGTTAGGTTAATTACATGATTGAATACATAAACAATTCCGAAGTGATAAAATGTACATGCATATTAGATAATGTAGAGGATAATAGTACTAGCAAATAGTGCATCATCAATGCTTTAGACAACCAGGACCGCAAAACAGTGGAGTTTTTAAAATCTTTTCTTTGTATTAAATTGGTTTCTGCAAGGGTCATTTCTTGTGTTTTCTTCGTATTTACAGGTCAATATGGAGATTAAATTGGATAAAGGGCAAATCCCTAATTTGAAAGTATTTGTCAGCCATTTGACCCAGACCATGCACTCTGCAATGCCTGGATCTTTAGTCATATGGTTGGTGCAATGAGATTCCACTTTTTCAACTTCTCAAACTATTCTTTAATAAAAGAGATTCACATGCCTCAATCTTAATTCGTTTGTTATTTACGATGATGCAGGTATGATGCTGTTACCATTGATGGTGATCTAAACTGGCAAAACCAGTTAAATGACCGTAATAAGCCTTTCTTTGACATATCTGATGGCATATTTGTGAATTATACGTGGCTGGTATCACCTTTTACTCGCTTTCTTATTTGTTAGCCAGACATTAGTTTTCCATTTCTTGGCTGAAAGATTTTCATCTGTTCTAAACAGGAAGATTATCCTAAGCTCTCAGCTGCTGTTGCTGGTGACAGAAAGTTTGATGTCTACATGGGTATCGATGTTTTTGGAAGGGGCACATATGGTGGTGGACAGTGGACAGTAAGTATCAAATTATCTGCAACTCCTTCTCATTGGCACATAACTTCTTTATCTTAAGAGCCCATATTAGTCTAAAAGATTTACCTATTACTTTTAGTGAGAGCAAACTATATTATCCATCTTTCTTTTATTCTCCCTTTCGGCTCAATTCACCTGTTCGAGCATTTCTACTGTATAACATTGAAGGGAGGGTTGAAAACACAAGACCTTTTGTTGTGATACTAACATAGTAATTGATTCCTCAAATAGCTTAATTTGTTAAAAGAAAATGTTTTTAACATACTTCTGCTTAGCTCGTCATACGATAATTGCTTAAGGGTGTTATTAGAGAAAGTTATTTCTTGCTTTTTACTGTGGGCTTTATGTCATTCTTGGGGTAATAATGATCCAGCAAATGTAACACTTTACCACTTAAGTGATACGACAATATTGACGGGATGGTGGTGTATTGTTGGGATAAGTCAATGTAATATATCTAAATATCTTGAAATTTGAGCAGTGATATGACATCATTAATGTTGAAGTATAATTACTTAAGTTACACCCCCCTCCAACAATTTAAGCTTTTAAAGTAAATAGTTGTTTAACATGGTATTAAAGCAGAAGGTCCTATGTTCGAATCTCGCCCTGACCCTAATTATTAAAAGATTTCTACGTGTTAGGCCCAAAATCTAGCCAGCACATGAAAGGACATGTTGAAGTATAATTACTTAAGTTACATCCTCTCCAACAACTTAAGGTTTTAGAGTAGATGGTTGTTTAACAATTAACGTAGGATTCTTAAATTGGTCATTTTGAGAGTGTCCACTCTTGAACCTTTGACCTTGCAATTAGTGATCCACCCACCTATTACCTTGTTCCAGCAGATTCACCGACTATGCGAATGCTTTGCACGATAGATATGTGTTGAACTCTGGGCCCCAAAGAAGGATGACATGTCAGCTACCATATTTTTTTTTTAGAAAAGTATGACAAGAGTCATGGAACATAAGTAACCATTTTTAATGATCTGAAAATTCGGCGTACAGATCCAGTGTTCCTTTTAATTATGGAAGACAGTGTTCCTTTTAATTATGAAAGAGATGTTATAATTATTTTGCATTTCAGACGAATGTTGCTCTTGATGTAATTAAGAAAGATGATGTGTCTGCCGCCATATTTGCTCCTGGATGGGTCTACGAGACGAAACAACCACCTGATTTTGAGAGTGCTCAAAATCGGTAAGGCACTCATCTCTTTCCTTGCAGAACTGACCAATTGTTATTCTGATATAGTGAATTTTATTTGTAAGTTCTTTTAGTTCGTTTATTTTTTATTTTTTTTTGGAAAGCTTTGATCCATTCTCTGTACATGAAATTGTCCTGCTGAACCTTGTTGACAAGACATCTGTGTGCATACATCTCTAAAGTCATTTTAAACACTTATATGTTTCAACTTTTATTTCTGGAAGGGACCAAAATGCCTTTTTCTTTATTTTTTATTTTTATTTTTCTCTCCCTAGTTTCAATTCCATTGCTTCAGATTCTGTTATTTACTCACAGCATTCAGTGTTATAGCATTACTGTTAAAATTCTTCTATTTTCCTAAACCTTGCATTTGGCAATATTTATTCACCATCACCTACGTCAATAATGGTTAGTACTTTTGCATTGTAACAGTTGTAACTCAATAAGAAAGTTTAGCTAGCACTTTGTGCTATTTTAGCATTCCAGTTACCATGATTGTTTTTTTCTTTACTTACGGTAGGACCTTTTTTTTTTTTTTAATTATCAATTACAGATCTGAATACTATACCCTGAGAGTAATGCTTATTGTTGGGGAGGCCAGGAGTCCTCCCAAAATAGACCCTGATATCCGTGTTTAGAACCACTGTTGACTCAAAAGCTTAAGCCATTGGGTTCTGGGTCCTTGCATTTAGCATGTGTTACACCATTTATCCGATTTTACGTCTTGCACTTGACCGCATCAAAGTCTCCCTCAATTGGGCCAATCACATCACTTTTGATTCCCCCTCTATTGGAACCACCACTCCCAAATCGCCACTCTGACAGCTCACATGTTAACTTTCTTCTCAAGAGCCACTGGTGTCGTTTTACCGCTTGTAGTCTAGTTNTGCAATTAGTGATCCACCCACCTATTACCTTGTTCCAGCAGATTCACCGACTATGCGAATGCTTTGCACGATAGATATGTGTTGAACTCTGGGCCCCAAAGAAGGATGACATGTCAGCTACCATATTTTTTTTTAGAAAAGTATGACAAGAGTCATGGAACATAAGTAACCATTTTTAATGATCTGAAAATTCTNTCATACAAATGTTTGAAAGCCAGCTTGACCAGAACTTAGCCGTTAGGTCTTGGACCCCTTCATGTAGTCCAGACTCCAGACCTTCTTTGTTGCACCATTTATCCGAGGTGATTTCAACACACCAAACTTGACCTCCACAAAGCTATCACTATTGAGGAATGAACTTTTAGTTTTCACATCATCAAAGCTCCCTGCTGTATTTCTTCTTGGTTTGTAAATTTGTTTTATGGCCTTCATTGGTTATATGTGCTGGATTTTGCAGTTGGTGGGGCCTTGTTGAAAAATCATGGGGAATAGTGCAGAACTACCCCAAAGCACTTCCATTCTATTCAAATTTTGATCAGGTATTAACCTTGCATGATTTATTTCTTTGTTCTTTGTTCTTTCCTTTCTTTCTTTTCATGTTGATCTTGTGAACTTTTGCTCCTAATAAGAAATAAATACTATCCAATGGATGCCAGATTCCCAGTTCCTCCGGTTAGTCTCCAATCCACTTTGTATTATCCGGCCATTAAAATCTTGTGGTGACGGTACATCACGGCAGGAAAAGGAAGAGAACTGATTACTTAACTTTTGATTGAATAGCGTACAAGCATTTTCCTTTGTAAATTGAGTAATTCAGTTGTACACATAGTTATTAGTATCGTATAATACGTCACGGTACATCTGAAAAATGATACATATAGTGTTTCTGTATCGTTTTTGCACCGTATCATACGATATACGATACAATACCTACGATACGATAAGATACGTACGATATGTGATGATTTTGTTTTTTTTT